TACACCAATGAGCGAAGGGCAAGACTTTACGATTCAAATCCCCAGCTTCTGATGCGACGACTATTTAGCGAAAATCGTCTTCGGTGTCCGTATCAACAAATCAGATAACAAATTACGATGCAGATGAGCAGGCATTCATTGCACCAATTCCGAGCTTCAATAATGTTTGCAGGGGGCTGGCAGCTATGATAGTTGCATGGTTGCATGGTGAGTGCTTTCTAAAATGCTACGCCCATTGTGCGCCCATCAAGCTTATCTGTAGCTGTCACCAATGATGGGTTAGTGTAAGAACGCAAAACGTCAAACGAATAGAACTGTCGTTCCAGCGATCACACCAGTCTCTTCTCAACCGCTTTTCTGAACCCGCCCTCTTGCTCAAACCACCACCTAGTGACGATCCAGGAGTTTTCTTGTGTTTCTTATTAAATGATCTGAGCGAATTTTTCAATCTTCGATTTTAATTAGACTTACATGATGGTGATAAAGCTAAACAACTGCATTAGATAAGAAGACGACAGTGAAAAATTTAATCAACGCAATTTAACTAACATGGATGGCCTGGGGCTTCGCTTTAATGAATTTTGTTAAATAAATGACTAGGGGTTCAAGACAAACTTTTAAATACTACAAGTAAATATTACCAGCTCTCCTACGCCTCCTCTATTTTCGTGGACATACAATTATGCAAGGGACTAGGCTGTTGAATAAAAAGTCAAGGAATATTATTTTCGATACGGTTATTATGTTAGCCAAACAGTAAAATTTAAAAGGCGCAGACTCATTGGTCAAAAACCGCGGTCAGACACCTCACAGTGTCTACTTCGCTGCGGTCTGCAATACCACCTTAGAAACCGAACACTGTGACGCAAGTACTGAGATGCCGTTTTCCGTCTGTTAGACGTACCGATATGGGTAGTTTTTTTCACTCTGTTCTATACACTAAAATACACAAAAAGACATAGCAAAGGTCTCACACGATATTTGAGAGACTAAGAGGTCTTATAGGTTAAGGTCAACGGAAAGGCCACGTCGATATCCGCTGTTTGCGTAAAAAACGAGACTAGCAGCGAGGATTTGTGAGTAAAATATTGTATGGTTAGGTAAGTTTGCTCAAAACCTACTGCACTCTCGCCTGCCCACTCATTTTGCTCTGATGAAAAGGTAAAGTCATAAAATCAGAGTCGGGCGGGAGGCGATAACTGATTAGGCTAAGCAGCCTTTTCTCATCGCCCCAAACAGGACGTTATTTCTATGTTTTATATATCTACATATATATTATGTCAGGCTATAATAAAGGCAAGGATATCGTGGAGGAAACATTAAGAAAGACCATTGCAGTTTTCTCCGAAATGTCCCGTCTTTAACTGACTTCCAAGACCCGAATTACAGCCTGATGAATTCAAGCGTGTTCAGAATACACTGGTTTGTCATGAGTATGAATCCTTCTGCGTCGGCCTCCATGCGCGTGCTCAGTGGTCAGTTTGGTCCGCCATTTTTCTTATCGAGCTATGGTTCAGGACTCAAGTGCGCTTGCTGACGCGTGTCATATTTATCGACAAGGTGACTAGTAACGTGAACAGCAGAGGAAATTCTAAGCCCTCTTTAAATGCAAAGTGGAAGTGCCCACTGTCTGATCTGATGATGGGGCATACTTACTCCGTTTCACTTTCGCTCATGCTTGCATATAAACAATAAATTCATTACACAGGAGTATTAAAAAGGACTAGGATAAATCGGTCCGTTACGCCTAATTTGTCTTTATCAGCCAGTCATAAACAAAGGCTAGGACTTGCGAGTCGCAAGCCCAATCTCTTTTAGATGTAATCGGTACCACAAACACTCTGTTATTGTAACACAGGACCATGTCCTGTCAGCTGAATTCGGAAAAAAGCAGGCCATAGGGAATTATTTTGTCTAAAGTCGGCCTGGAGAAATATGTCTATTTAATTTTACCGTGCCTCTTTCTCTTCCATTGTTTACCGTGAGATTGCGTCTGCGTTGTTAATTACCCGTCGCTAGAAAACCGGTCAATGGAACTTAAGGCAAAACAAAACAGGCATTTTCCTGTATTGAGATCCGCAAGCCGATGCCCCAACGTGAACCACAGCGTCATAGAAAACGATCAGAGGAACGTGGGCCATAATCCATGATCAGTGTGTTTGACTTAATGCTCTATGGCATAAGTCTAAGCCTCGGGATTTGCCTGGTTGTGGTGTCGGCGTTTCGTCGGCCGATACAACAGAGTAGCCCATGTTAGGGGGCGCCCACCGGTCGTTCATACGGAACTCACTCGTTCCGTTGTGCCTTAAGGGCTCTCTCTCGAGCCCAACCAGCAGCCGCACAGCGGCACATGATACATAGGCAGAATGATATTACCGACAAAGACAAGGGAGAGTGGAATGGCCATTTCTGGCTTATTAGCCGTCGTCAGCCAGCCATACCCAAGCCCGAAGTGTGGAACACCCGAGCCTCGAACTCGCGACCTGTTGGTTTAGAAGTCAACGCCTCTACGGACGACGACGGCTAATAAGCCAGAAATGGCCATTCCAGTCTCCCTTGTCTTTGTCGGTAATATCAGAGTAGCCCATCTCCTTACTGTATTTTTACTTTTCCTTTACTATTTTAAGTATTCATTGTCCCTTAAGAGGATAATGGTGATTCAGGGCAAGAAGGTTTTGGGTGGGATGTGCATTTAAGCCCTTGCAGATTAACTCATATCAATTAAAACTGGTCACATATTCTTTCCTCCAAATGCGATTGTTTATTGCGCTTTTACATGGAACTAAAAAGTATGTGTGGAGTTATTATGCTTATAACATTTGATTACTGCAGAGTGTGGTTGAGAGCTAAGTGTTTCCCTTTGACACTTCTGTTACATTTTCAACTAAAAACGTCACCCTTTTGATTTGGTCTTCTTTGAAAAGTCTTATATTTTATTAGAGTACATTTATAATATCTTTATTGCCTGAGCTGACTTCTGCACTCTTTAACATCTGCAAATGACATAAGCAGATTTCTCTAGGTATCCCCACAGTAGTAATATGCTTTTGGAAATTTAGAATAGTACTCATGCGTAACCTATTCGAAATCCGGCAAGGACCATGCAGAAAAATAATGCGTTTTTACTGAAAGAATCACAATTTCTAGGAAATGTAGTTTAAGTAGTTGCTCGAGCGCTGTCTTGCGACCTGTATCATAAATAAGATATGCTAAAAGTGTACTCATCTTCTTGCTTTTGGCAACTCTAATTACACTTTTCGTATGTGGAGATGGAACAGTAGCTTACACGTTATGAACGATAATTAAATGCTGGCAGACTGTCTTATGGATGTAAAAACCAACTATCGAAATACTCTTTTACGAGATAATTGGAATGCAAGACGCTTCTGCAAAAAATATTGTTCCTCAACGTCACCCGGTCACTACGTTTTTCTATTTTAATTACGCTCATTAGTTTCTAATACAAGAGCGAAACCCTGCTAGAGCTCTCTTATACCTGGTCATGGAATATCAAATATGCATTAAAAGTCTCCTGTCAATTTAGCTTGTCCTTTTTTTAAAAGTGATTTAATTGGAATCACACTAGCGAAGACCGTTTCTTAATCAGTTGCAACCTTAGGTTTAAGGTGATTGCAAAAAGTTCCTCTTCATCCTAATGCTTGGTTTTTCGGTATAGGTAACGAAATTCCGCCTGCCCTTTCCCCGTGTCCGGCATTTGGAGTGTTTCGAGCATAAGACGCAAGAAGAGATATCTCATAAAGATAAAATTATAGTAAAGAGGGTTTAAGAAAATTATGCCCTTCTTCTGACTTTTCATTATTGAAACAGACGGTTGACTGGAAAGAGCGGAAAATGGAGGCATTGAAATGATAATTAAACACATATAGTATAGACTGTGGGAACTCCGGTACAAATTCAGTAGCATGAACAAGCAGGTTTGTTTATCTAACCTCACAAATGATGGTGTTATTTCATCGTCGATGAGAGCACTTACTACTTGTTACTGTTCCTCTCACTGTGACAACTTTTTTGATTTTACTGTTTTCCTGATTTATCGCAGTCAAGACATTTCTACACTTTGCTACCTAGATTTAAAGACGTGCGATTGCAAAACAATATTTTCCGTAGGCATTTATGAAGTTTGTTTCCTTAGAATTTCTCGTACCAACCAATAATTTTTGAAAGTGGTAGATCGACGCAAGGATGGAAAAGGCTTTCCTCATATTTAGGTAAGATTTTACAAAATGACCGACGGAAAAAAACATCACCGAACTTTTAATGGATTTGCCGACATACATATCATGCTAAGGGCCGCATGGGAATTTGACTTTGTTGTTTTGCCTTTCACTTCTTTGAAACCAGGTCAGATTTGCTTTGCTTATTTTATAACCACTGCCTTATTACTCTGTGTGCAGGAAGTTTCACATGCATCAATATCCTTCATCACCTGCGATACCTAAATTAATACTGCTCTGCCACTTGTCGAAACTTCTTTCAGCCCTCACATTTTATTGATTAGACACGGAAATAAGTACGCCCGTATAACAGACGCCCTTTGGCTAAATTACAGTGGATAATGATCCCCGTTTCCTAACTTCGACGTCAACCACACTTCGAGCACTAACGCAATCCCGGACCTTCCAGACTCTAACCATCTAAAACCTAACCCTGACACTAACCATAGCGCAAGCACAATCCTCAACCCCAACTTTCTTGGAATTTGGAACAAGGCCACCCGTTTTGCGACACAGCGCACTTGTTTCCGTGTTCTGTACTATTATTTAGTTTAATTCACATATCTTTCTACAGATGACTGATTAAAAAGTCGTGCTCCTTCATCTGCATTCTAGAGTGCTGGTTATATTACAGAATTGAATTCCGAATGAGGGGGAAGTTTCAGCACCATTGTATAATTCACAAAACAGCTTTAGCAGTATCTGCTGTCCCAATTTTTTAACATATATGTTCAGCACGACGCTGCTAAACCATAGTCTACAGAATTAGGACGAGTCAAACCAGACGGGCCTTTAAGAGAAAAGCCATGGAGCTAGGAAGCAGACAGATGGTGGCAAGAAGTGCATTAATATAAGGAAAGACACTATTAACAGTTATCGTCTCTCGACTTTCTGTCGAGTAACCACAGGAAATATATTCTTTTAATATAAATGAATGTTCATTTGTCATTGAAGTAGTCACTTAAGGAAGTGCGTACCTTCGCTTAAGGACGGCCCAATTTTTTCTTCGGTATTCGGCCACGGAGAGGGCTAAAGAGTTAGCAAAACCAGAATGTTAGATTTTCGGCGATCACTTCAGTTTGTCAAAGAAGCCAACAGGATGTTTCCAGTCTAATGGGTTTGTGTGGAAATTATAATAAGTAAAACTCTAAGCACGCGGGACCCTCTGCACCGTAAACAGTTGAAAAAGGCTTTTCGCAGGATTTGCAACACTTTCACAGACAATCTATCCTTTGGACGAATTTTGTTAATGCCTATAAATAGCAAAGAGTGTGTCCGGTTTACTGACACACTTACAGGCAGAAAAGGAATTCTGACTGTCTCCGTAGGTGGAGTACATATTATGATGACTAGAATGCTTGCGTCTTAGTAAAAGTGTTTGCTTGGTGTGTCATTTGATTTTCAACTTAGATGAAACTCTATTTTCTTCGAACCGGAATTCCCTTATTTAGCATAGGGACTTTTAAACTTGTATATTTTTGAAAAAGGAGCACACATTAATGGGAATAATGCGTCAAAAGTGAATTCAGTTGCGTGCGTCTGCATTTCAAGAATCACATGGATTTTAAAAAGCCAGAGGATTTCAGCCGTTTCCTCGAAACCTAGTTATTTTAGGACTTTCCGTATAGGTAAATAAAAATTTCGATTTGTGGGATATTTTCCATCTTCTCCTCTTTGAATTACCTTCCTTTTTAACCTAGCGTGGATAGTGTAAATGGTACTGTAGGTAAATTAGAACAATTAGCCAATCCAAGGACTATCATTCTGAGTCCTTTATGCTGCATATTACTGCTCGTTGCCAACGTAACTTTTGGCATGCGTGTACAAAAGTATGAGTCTGCAAAAAATTCTGATGATCACAAATGGTCTGACTGTAAGTCTTTCCTTCCTTAGGTATATTCTAAGACCACATTCGCGTATGTCATCGAGCATTATAGGTAATTATTGCATTATGCAGCATCGTAACAGCATTGTACTTTTGTCAAATTCAAAACTAAGTCAGATACTGCTCTTCAGATGTCAAATAGCTTTTGCTTAACATTTCGCACTGGGTATTTGTATAAAATTACTGACTGCAATAAGTTAAACACAGAATTAACAAACGTTAGCGCTTACGTCCGGGTAAGGCCGAAGCCGAATCTGATGTATTCGTTTTTGCGGTCTTTGTCTAGGTTTTTTGCAATGGAAACAGATGTAAAACCACCTGTTCATCGAATGTTTTAAAATCCAACGAAATCGGCAACCAACAAGTCCGTATATCACAAAGTTGCAGGCAAAATTTATCATCGCAGTAAAAAGGGCGATGGCGTACACAGCAAGCGTGGTTTCGCGGTTGCTTTCAACTCCCCAAATCTTCGCATACATCTCTAAGAAAAAATAGAGAGCCGTCGGAGTTTCACATATGATAAACATTGTAATGACACAGATTAACATGGCGGATATGTTCCTCATTTGATGCCTCTTCCGCTGTCTTCGATAACACCTGGAGTATTCTTTGGCATCTGTGTCCGCTTGTCGGTCAATGGTTTTCAGATGATCTGCTCGACCTGTTCGTTGCGATAGTCGAGGACGTGCGAAGTCGTCATTTTCATTGTTAGGTGTTTCAGAAGACCCTTCTGCGAGTGCGTAGTTTCCGCCGCACTTGCCATGTTCCTTGTAGATATCGTCGATACCGTGCAGTTGCCATATGAGGTAGACGTTGAGAAAAACCAAACAGGCCAGAGGAATAAGAAAAGTTATAATCTGATCGATAATTTGTACATAAACCAGACGAAACATCCCATACCAGGGTCGGTTAAGAAAAATTGGCTCACAAGAGTCGCATTCACTGTGCCAGTCATAATAACAGAAATCAAAGATAAGATTTGGCAGCTTCGAAGCTAGTCCCACTATCCAAATAAGCATCTGGCCACGACGAGCATTCGATACTGTACAAATGCTTGCTGATTTGAATGGATAACGAAGGGCAATAAAGCGGTCAATGGATATGGATACGATTGTATAGGCTTCCGAAAACTTAAACCATCCTAACAGGAAGAGGATGGGGGAGTCAGCAAACCATATGTACTGAATTACGACCGGAAATGTCCCAAAACGCTGATGAAGTAATGGAACAATATAGTAGATCATGTATATAATGATGAGCGATAAGTCCTGCGCAGCCAAGACAAGCATAAGATATCGAGCAGTATTCCTTTTTCGATCTGCTCTAAGAACACACACTGTAAGTGCATTAGCGGGGATTCCAAAAAGGCCGATGAAAGAGCAGACGTAGGCGACGAGAATGAAATAGGATCCGCGCAAACTCGGATTACACTCCTTGGTACTCAACGTCTGGTTTTCAAGTCTAGTGGTGTTCAGATCTGTAAAATTTAAATCCATTTTTCTGCCACTAAGAGGTGTCTTGCATGCTTTGTTGCAGATTACTTGCAACTGTTTTGCTTTCCACAGCTTGATTTAGTGGAATAAGAAATTGCAGACCGGAAAGGCCCAATGAAAAATCGAGAGCACTAGCCAATTGCAAGCTGGTCTATTAAAGCGAATTAGGTTTGTATACAAATTAGCCACAAATAAACCGGACAGTATTTTCTGTCGCTAAGACTACTGTGAAACTGTTAATCATCGACTAATACTTTCTAATTTGAGTACAATAGGGGGCGTTGGGTTCAGACAATCTAATGATATAAGAAGACGTTTGATGTCATCACTCCAGTTTCTTTATCTTGTCGAGCTATTGCGTACTAAAGGCTGTAAAATTTAGTCCGAACATACTGCCTTCTCTAAATACACTACGCTTAGCGTGGCTGATAATCTTAAATGCACGGACTACGGCAAGTTCAGGTCTAAACTGTAAAGCACCATTTCTGTTATATCAAACTCATCTGAAACAATATATGGCTATGCTGATCGTCCGGCCTGCAACGATTGATTACACGGGTAGACTTACGGCAATTTATGTGGTGATCTGCCTTAGTTTAAGAAGAGTTCTTACGATAGCATTCCTAAATATTTATATTATTTTCGAAACAACGTTGGCTCTGCTTCTATAATGCATCTTTGGCAATGTTAATTAGTCCAGTGATGACTTATAACGGTAAACGTATTCCAGTTCTATTCGTATGTACGTAGTAATGAGACTCTATTTTACTTACTGTTGAATAAACAAGACTTAAAGTTTCGCTTTTGCTCTAACCGCGCACTTATGACAAAGCCTAAACCGAACAGGATATGCCTAAAACACTCGCAACTCTCGTTGAACGGGGTAAAAATGTTTTAGTGACAATCACATATGACATACTTTTAATATTTTGATTTTGATAATCTCCGTTGGTGCACAGAACTAGGTGGATCTTGGATAATTTTATGAAATTTTGTTTTTTTTCTGAAAGTCTCCCGCACTGGACATAAAATGGGGTCTATTCTTACGCAATGATATGCTCGCTTCTGAACGAACGTCTATCCAACTAGTATGTCCAAACTCCTCGAATAACTCGTGACCGCAGAATCATGTGTTTTTGCTCCTCCTCATCATCAGCCATTGAAATTCCGTAAGAAAGGTTTACCAAGAATCGTCTTATGAACTGAATTTGCAGAAAAACGCCGTTTCTTCAAGTTTAACAAAGGAACTGAACTACGTTGATCCCTAATTCGTTTACATTGCTGTGGGAATGTTCAAGAAGTCCGCGTGCTTGCTCGCACAATATACTGCGCCAACCAGACTGGACATCCCAATTCAAACACATTATAATATTGTACAAGCATCACATCACGATTTGTGTGTTTTTGTGATGTTAAGTGTCATTTTGACATAGAGCCAGTGTAATAAACAAAGCTGTCAAATGCGTTCTGGGATCAACTCCTACACAATGATATGCCCGCTTCTGAACGAATTTCTATCCAAAATGTATGTCCAACCTCATCGAAAAACTAGTGACCGGCTGTATGTGTGTTGATGCATATTTAACCTAAGAGTTTCTCTTATTTATTTAGCAGTCTAAAGTATATTTTGACATTTACAAACTAGAAATATAAAGGGGATTTTCATGGTCCTTTTCGACAGAATGTGGTAGACCCGCAAAAACACTGTTAAATTGTACGATGATAGGAAACATTCAGATAAGAACGTACTTTGCACATAATCAATACAAGTCGTTGGAGTATGTCTAAGCACTATCGGCAAGCTACAGTCTATGCGTCAGAAACTGACGGTGTGGGATCTGTAAGAAATTACGTTTCACCTATTCAAATGAAGAAACGATCGCATATCAGCTTTGGACAGTTTATGCGTGTGCCTCCATGGCGGGCAGACCGCCACAGATATTATTTATGGGGACAGACTTACGTGAAAGGGCATTAGCAAGCCTTAACAAACTGTGACCTTGAGATTTTCTACAACTTTTACGTTTGCCTTACCTAATGTGTACTGGAATCTGTACCCTTTATGCGCATATGGTACTTCGCAAGAACCTAAATTCAGGATACTTCTGAGCGTTTGCACTTGATGATGAAATTCGTTCGAAATGCTTTTCGGGGGGAAATTCTAATTGTCCTGTGACAATTTTTTAACAATACTACGCATTTTAACTAGTTGTTAGGAATATGCGCGATGTGAAAACTGATAACTTAGCGGAAGCGGTGATGAATTATGTCTTTTAAAATGATTTGGACTTAGTGCATTTTAACGGTTTTTTATGGGGACGAGGACGGCAAATGCTGTCATTACTAGCATTCAAAGGACATCAGGGATGGCGGTATACAAAACGTTGCGCCTACCATTCAGTGGATGTTAAAGACTAGTTCATCATAACAAAACAGAAATAACGAAACATAGGAGGCTATGATACCTTTCCGTTTATTTTAAAAACGAGCAGTTTAGAAACAAATCCCAATGCCAAATATCTGACTTGAATTAGTACAATGCTCCTCAAACAAGTGCAGTTTCTTCTAAGAAGGGCTGGAAAAAGAGTCTAATCTTGAGGAAACTCCTTCGACATTTAATTCCAGTTGTTTCTTCATACAGTGTGTGACCTATCTCATGAAATGTTGTCTGAAATTCTGAAATGTGTTTTCGATTAGGAAGGATTAATTGGTCGCGGTTGTGATTCTGATTATCTTAAGGCATACTCTTATATCATTTTAGACTCGGCAGGATGTCTGCTTTAAAATGAACTTCTTTTCGATCTCCTGTAGAAAACGTGCTCGGGAAAAAATGACTACTTAAGTAGCATGTATTTTTCCCATTGATTTTCGATGGTCTTGGAAATTCAAATATATTTTATAGAAACCACAAACAAAAATATGCTTTTTTAGTCAATCACTGGAAAATCACGTCTTCTTTATATTTTATACTTAAGGAAGGAGTATACTTAGGTTTTAAAAAAGTTTTCTAATTGCCGAAAAATTTGGAGCCTGATCATTCGTTGCATTAGCGCTTAGTGATTAAACTCTACGAGGTGCATGCGTTCCGCGTAAAGAAAATCCCATATTTTTCTATGTCATTAAAGAGATATCATACAGGGTCCATAAAATTTTGCAGTGGATGCGGACCATGTTGTACATTTCATGAGGAGCAGTGGTAAACGGCCAGGTACGATGCTATGTGAATGGACATGTCGCGGTCTTAAAAAGTCTCATAATTAGAAACTTTTTTAAAACCTAATTATACTCCTTCCTTAAGTACAAAATATAAAGAAGACGTGATTTTCTATTGATTGACTAAAAAAGCATATTTTTATTTGTGGTTTCTATAAAATATATTTGAATTTCCAAGACCATCGAAAATCAATGGGAAAAATACATGCTACTTAAGTAGTCATTTTTTCCCGAGCACGTTTTCTACAGGAGATCGGAAAGAAGTGCATTTTCAATCCGACATCCTGCCAAGTCTAAAATGTTATAAGAGTATGCCTTAAGATAATCAGAATCACAACCGCGACCAAGTAATCCTTCCTAATCGAAAACACATTTCAGAATTTCAGACAACATTTCATGAGATAGGTCACGCACTGTAAGTTAATCTTTAACGGTCTGAACTATGCAGTAGCCAAGTAAAAATATTTGATGTCCTTGGCGGCAATTGATTCGATTTTTGTGATGCTTGACTGCCGACTTTTACGAGTCCTAAAAGATTTTGTATTGTCTCTGCTAAGTGAGTAGGATTTCCTCATACACTGGTTTGGCTCATGATCATTTATCCTCAAAATGGTCACTCTTCTCTCGTTATCAACTCATTCACATCCCGTCAAATGGCTGTAAAGTCTAGTGTTTAATGTTACTATTGGCCTATATTCAGCTGAGAGAATTAATTGTTGACCCATTTGAACAATTACTTGCATTTAAGTTAACTTTATTCGCGAGGCTTACTGAGTTTAATCTATACGACTGCTACAATGTGTATACAATGGCGGACCCTGTCGCGGGTCTGAATTTCGTTAGTCCCTTTTACTTGTAAGTTGACTTTTCCCCATTTTCAAAGAATAACTCGCAAAGCGGACGTTCATAATGTAAAAATTACACGAGCTGACGTTTTCTTCTGTCAGTTTAGAAGATGGTAACTGCATTTTTACTAACAATGGAAATAATGGTAAAAATACGGGCTTTTTGAACAGCCGATAATGTAGTGCTATTTGGCGCAAAAAGAAACCGGGAAAGCAGGCGAACCTTATAAGTTTCAAAGCGAGGATTGAAACAGTCTCTTTGACTGCTTGTCTATCCACCTCACTCTAGTAACCTATGAAGTTAAAATCTGACTTGGACCTTTTGGTTATAGTTTTTTGTCACCTTTTTACGATGCCTCATATACCATGAATTATTTGTGTTACTACGCAAACTAGTAACTTGCATGTCTGAAACTGCCAGTGTTTCTTCACTTTATGACATTACGTTTCAGGAGTGGCATTTAAAAAATATATACATAATTTATAGCTTTTTTATGCTTTGGGCCAGGGTCCATGGAACCCAAATAAATTAGTTTACGAGGTCTGGTCATCTTTATGGCCTATTTGCGACATTATAAACCGGTGTTTTAACTGCGTAACGAGATTTAAAGAATGATGCGGAGGTCATAGCGGCATGGGTCTTAGAGCGAGGAACAGTCATAATCTGTCATCATTTGCAGCAAACTGCTGAGCAGTCTGCGTGCACGTCTGAGAGCATCTGAGTGCCTTGTAGCTTAACCAAGAGTGCGTTTTCTCATATCCTCAGTCATTTTGTAACTCAAATCTTTTGTTCCCTTATTCTGAATTTTCATATTTTAATAGATTGTGTCACCAATCCTTTTGCTTTGTCTGCTTCGATTTCAATCCACCTGTCTTTGAATTATTTTTCATGACTTGTCGCTTATGTGACTAATCTAAGCTGACTGTCCAGAATATGCTCGTTAGTTATGAAAATCGCTTCCCTATTACACGGTAGGCAACCTGTGTTCTGAACTGCCAACCAAAATTATGAAATCTGCTTTCGTTTAAAAGGGATTATTTAGTTGGATTTCTTATATTGGTTTTATTGCAACATAACCCCTTAACATATCTGTCGCGTTAGGATTCCAGCATTTAAGTGCGCTTCCTTATGACCGAGCGCAAGCAATACCTCGGTGAAAACTGCCGACTTTTATATTATAATTTTTCTCATCGCCTTTTTGTCGTTAAAAATCTTAATATTTTTGGTGAAAAGTGTTCATACTAATATTTTTTCTTCTGCTATTTTGATGGTATGTTGCGTTTTCTCCAATTTTTCTACCTAACGTTTAGGCATATTTTCTTTCTGAAAAGTTTGTAATTATAGGGTTTGTAAGGTCTAAAATGGTCAATCATATTTCGCTGTATCCATAGGTTTAATAACCTTATTAATGAGTGTTGAATCATGAACAATGTCCATTGAGAAGTTTGATGATACTTTTGTAATACCTTTTCTATAGTGCAGCGGAACTTATTACTTTCCTCATACGGCAATTATGCAACTTCATAATTTGGAAACTCTCAGCGCAATTGCAACGGGAGCCTCTTTAAAATTGTTCTTGGGTTGACAAACTCTTAGGAACCGAATAACACCCCCTCCGAGTGCTTAACTTAAGCCAAACAATAATGCAATAAGACATTTGTATGCATTTTTTCAATAAAATATCTTCAAAAACGTAGGTGCATAAAAGATCATAAAAAAGTTCACAGTTTGCAAACAGTCGCTTTATACCAAGCGTGATTTGGCATGCGAAAGAATAAAACAAATTTAAATGTCAGCATCTCGACATGATTGAAATATCTTATTATGCTAAAAATAATTGTCTGTTCAACATTCATCTATAGTAGTTTGATTAACGCATGAAATGGCAGTCGAAAGTTCGAAATTCGTTCCAGTTTCAAAAAGATTAATTAAGTCGAGTTGTAAAATTTATTATTTTGCAGCATAATCTTGCAACAATCCAGTTATTCCAGGATGCTTGCTTTCAACTAAGCTTCTTTTCGTCTACATACAAGAACGATACTCTGCAAAAAAGGACTACTTACGTAGCATGCAAGTTTTTACTGATTTTCGGTGCCCTTAGAAATTCCATTATATCTCATGCAAAGCATGCAAAAAAATATTCATTCTTAACTCTTGCGGTAGAATATTACGTCCTCTTCCAATCTTACACCCGAAGGAAAAGTCTGATTTGGTTTTCAAAAACGTTTCAAACCACCGAATAATTTTGAAATCGACCTGCCTTTAGACTTGCATTTGGGGTTTCCAACCTACAGGCCATATATTTTCTGCGAATGGACAGCCACACATTTCCCTACGGTATTAAGAGGAAATCGTGTGGAGTTCATAAAAGTTAGCAGTGGATTTGAGCCATATTGTTAACTTCACAAGCCACATTAGGAAATGCAGAGATATGACGTTTTATAAATGGCCATTTTACGATATAAAAAATCCCTCAATTGGAAACTTTTTTAAATCGAATTATACCCTTCCTCTGAGAATACAACAGACAAAAAGACTATTTTTCACCGAATGATCAAAAGAATGAATATTCATATGCCCGTTTTCCATGAAATATGATTAAATCTTTAAGGGCATCGAAAATCAATGAGAAGAATACATGCTACTTAAGTAGTCATTCGTTACAAAGGTATAGTTTTTGTCTGTGGCCGGAATGAAGTTCATTCGAAAGCCTACACCCTGCGGTGACTGGATTATTATAAAATTATGCTTTATGCTAATTTGTTTTACAACCCTACTTAATTAATCTTTTCGAAACGGAAACCCATTTTGAAATTTCGGCTAAAGTTGTGCAGGACGGATCCCCTGCTATTGTGCTTAATTCACTGTAGTATATAGGAAACTGCATACATTAATTCATTAGGTTCCATATTTTGCCGATTCTAAACATATGTGTTTGTCCTGCGTAACTAATTGATGAGAAATCTACTTGTTTGATTAATTTTAAGTTTGATCTTTAGTCCAGCGTTAATGTTAGTGAAATATCAAAAGATAATTGGCCACTCAGCTTGGGGTTTAAATAATCTGTTAACCGACCACTCAGTTCAGCCCGTGGATGCGTTATCAATCAGAAGATTATAAAGGCGGTAACCAGTTTTCCTGGGCGTAAGCAGTGACACCGGTAATAATGATACCGATGAAAATTTTATGTCAAGGGCTGTTCTTTATCTTGTTCCAAACATGAAATAATGATGCTTACTAAATTTAGATTGGGCTAGTCGCTGTAAGCGCAAAACGTATGCCTAGGGATAAAAGGTATGCTGCTTAAACGAATTCTGCTCTGCTTAAATGTATTACACTATGGAATTTTAATAATTCATCATGTATCCAGAGAGACGCAACTAAAGTTTTTTAGCTAGTCAGATTGACTTTCCATATCCCTAAACAAGGACTGAATTTGTTAACCATGGTAACCGGCCCCGTAAATTATGTTTGCAGTAACTAAGAGAAACGAATGACTAAGATGACGACGTTTAACCGAAGTTTTAGAAGAAATCTGATTCATTTGAGAAATATGCGTTATGTTCTAGATAGAAAAGTAGACCAGATCCAGTCTAAGCATGAGATTACTATTTTGTGCCACGGTTTTGTTTCCTTCCTGTCTCAATCTCGCAGACCTCTGGCTTATCATGTTGCAGACAAAACTCATTGTGTCTAAAATATTAGGATAATTAAATATTTTAAAGTTTTGCTACGGGATGGAAAAAAGACAAAAACCATTATTTTTTTACTTTGAAGCATTTTTTCCCGGGTATGAATTGAAAACAAGCATGTACAGCAGAATTTATTGGGGCCAATAAATTTCGTGACGGCTTTTTAACTGCAGCCAGTCTCTGCATAACAAAGGTAACGAATGAAAGCGCACAGCAGTATGAATTTGTACAGAATGGCAGTGCATAAGAGCAAGGTCAAAGTTCAAAGCAATCAATAATCATATAAGACGTCCACATAAGCATCAAAAAGGAAAAAGGGGAGACGAAATGTTAACAGCAAATCACAGTCAGGGAAAAATAGAGGCGTGAGATTACCAGGGCAATTGCAGATTGATCACGTGATCTAACTGCTTGCACAGGTCTGGTATGTAGGCTGCTTCCAAATAACGCAAGGTTCGAGTTGAACGTGCTTCGACAAGTACTCGAAAAGATGCTTTAGGGTCGACAACATGACTGCTATCTAACAGGCGTTTCGTTATAGACGAACGGGCGGTTCTATTTTCCTGTTTGAAAAGCCAATTAGGCAAATGCTCAGCGGCCCTGGTTGCCAATTGCCTTTGCGTTCGCCCAATGTACTTGCATCCGCATTGGCCCCAATATATTCTGCTGTACATGCTTGTTTTTAATTTTTTACATCAATTTCCAACTATTAAGAACCACAATGATAAGCTTGATGTAATGGTCATTTCCACTTAATTCAGTGTAATCAAACAAATTGAGATTGACCGAACCCGAGATTTTATCGCTGAAGATATTTTTGATTTATCAAAGGTTCTACTATTGAAGGACCAAATTATGCCCATTCTCTGATACCGGGAATATTTACAACTAGGCTGGATGGTTCTTTAATTATCTATCCCCATCCACGATTTCGAAGGGAATTTGGAGTTCACATTCCATCGTGGATCATCGGCCCGGTTTGCATGCAGCCGCAGCGCACATGTAAACAAATTCAACGAGTTCCAGGGAGTCATTTCATCATTAACTAACTAAATAATCAGGAGGTTTAAAAATGACTTTTGACATAGAAAACTATGAACTGCTTCTCATATTTTGACTAATTTTGACAAGAGGCCATCTTTGATAAATGAGAAACTAAAACTTAATGTATCAGCTGGACAAGTTCATCTATTCGTCGATTATCTGGTTCAGATCGGATAAATTTTACTAGCGTTTTCTGCCATTAGTTTTATCTCAAGCACCAAAATGTTAAACAAAGTCATGTAATTATAACTCCGTAATCCGCGAAGTAAACACTTAACTCTTTATTAATATTGATTCCCTTACATGACATTTTTGACATGCTTATCTACGTAAACCTCTAAAAACTCCCTCAGATCTAAAGCAATCGACCGTTTACACTTTACCCTTTCTGCCTCCTTCCATTTCTGTCATTTTGCAAAAGCAGGTAATTAAAATCAGAAAGAAAGGCATGGTTCAGAGTGAAAAAATGTGTGTAAGTGAACCATCTCCCACCGAAGAGCCTATTGTGACGTATTTCAACGTGCATGCAGTGCAAATAAGATTTCTTCCTTTATATGTTGAAGTCTACCACGCTTCTTTGTCCACCTTATGCCTATTACCATAGGTTCTGCAGTACGAGTACCTTTTTGCCATAATTCATGAGTCTGGAAACTATCTTTCTACAAATTGTCCTTTTCATGTATTAAAAAACCTGAAGTGTAATTAAAAAAGAAGAAAAATGTATTTCTTTACTTCATAAACTCCTTGCATCTTCGCTTCCGTATTACAGATGGTCTTGCCAAATCTTTCAGGGGGATACGCGTTCGCCTGTCGGAACGCTGTCAGATCCAGCCAGTTTGAAATTTCTTGTCCCAAAACAACAATCTTACTCACAAGACAGATGTGTTTATTAGAAAGGGGGAGGTTAGCTCAAAAATTTAGGAAAACTTGGCAATAAAAGAGCAATGTACTGATCATTCAAGTAACGCAACTGAAGCTGCACGAAGGACTAATGAATGCCTGAAATAGACAAGGAATCCAAACAAAAAACTGTCATGTTAAGCCTGCCTGTAACCTGTATATTTAGTGTGGTTTTCGCCGGCCTTATCACTGAAACATATTATATGACAAAGAAACCAGTAAAAGTGTAAGTATTTTAATACGGTTGCATTACTATTATTGCCCTTAACAGGTTTCCTTGGGCAAAACGGACACCATTCCGGCGCCCAAAATGCACCACGGAAAAAAGAACTATGACATCAAGGAGGAACGTCTGTTATCACAGTTCATACAACCTCATGAGATGTTCCATTTTTAGTGCATTTGGAGCCGTGTCGCACGCCTCTTCGAATCTATTGCGCAAGACCTCACAGGCCAAGTATGGTGATATTGGTGTGAATAACAACGTCACATCGAAGAAGACCATGAATGAGTCCGATTGAATTCTCAGACCTCGGAGGACTATGAAGGATTGAGAGGCTGATCGAAGTGAGGCAGTCGAGTTGCCATAAAAGAACTTCAATTTTGAGTATATCCACCTTGCTAAATCCCAGGTAGGGCAACGATTGGCCGCTGTGGGACATCTGTTTTCTATATTTTTGGCCAAATACAAAATCGAGCTAGAGAGGCGTGAGTTGCCGTCATTTGGTACCGTTCAGTCCGGTAACAAACGTTCTTCACTTTTGCCAGAGAGACCTATGAACAAATCAAGAGAATACCAGTCGGCTCATCGGTCTCCGGCTTAATGGTAAAACTGATCCTACAAGAATGAGAAAATATTGCCTTCACCCAATATGTGCCAGTGTTCTGGCAACGTTACGTTGAAGACACTTTTTTACCGTAGAGGACATCCTACATTTCCACAACCAGCTCAAAGCAGTCCTCCTTTATATGAAATTTACGAGGGAAGAAGAACAGAAACAGCAGCTGCCCTTCGTGGATGTGTTCTTCAGACGAAAGCTTTACGAAGAACTTGAAACTACGGTTTATAGGAAGGCAACGGACACCACACAGCAACCAACCGCTGGGTGACAAACGAAGCTGTGTGATGACGCTCTTCAAACGCATCCAAACTCATGGTAGTGAACAGGAGGAAAAAGTGCGTGAAGCCGGCTATCTCTGTGACCAATTTGTACAGACTGACTATCTGAAGCCATTCAAAAGTCGCTGCCTACGCGGTCGCACCAAAGGACCCAAACATCAAAACCACCAACGATATGCTATTTTCTGTTATACATCAAGGACGTTTCAGAAACAACCGAGCGCATTGCTGCAGAGTTATGTGCTGGAATCGCACACCGCCCTAAAGCCACCATGCGTCAAAACTGTCTTTGTGATTACACAGACCAGACTGAGCAATGTTCGGAACGTTCATACACGAACATAAGCCGGTTGTGCCGCGAGTCGACGTATTATCACAAGTGGCTGCCCACCCCTACGAAACAGGTCATGAGCTGAACGTCGCAGCCACCAAAACAGCCGCCGGCGCCAGAAACAAAGTAGACCGAAAATTGTTTGCAGCCTGGGCCTCGGGTGATATTTCAGTCAATCGATTTATCGATCTGGCGCCGACCTTCAGAGCCCTACGTTGTCCCCTGCAGTCTTGCACCGTCAGTCGATGATTGACGTACACGCCCGATAACTGTCTCTTGTTTTGTTACCGCTGCTATCTCTGACGATGGACTCCTGCACGAGTTCGAGAGCCCAGAACAATGAACGAATGTTCCAGTGCTCGATCGTTCTTATTCTTCACTTATGTACACACCTAAATTTCAAACCGTTGCCTTCATAGCATGATTACCTAGGATTATGGCAACTGTCCAAATGACCGGTCGTCAAAAGGGTTGCTTTTGCATCTGTCATTTTAGCTGCAGCTTCAAATATTCCAACTTCCTAGTCAAAACCTTCTAAGTGAAAAAATAATACTTCATGTCTCTTTATAATCTAGACCATGATGCTTTCTAAAGTGGAGGTCCAATTTATTCCCTGTCAAAACGATCTTGCTGTCTTAACCATTGAAATATCCCTGAAAAACGCCTTTTGTGGAAGTGACAATTACTCGGAATGAGTCTCAAACCCCTCCATTACCTCGATTTTTACAAAAAACATTATTTCATGCTTGGCAGAAGGATTTATAACGAGGATAACGACACGCTTAATCGTTTCTTGATTACAGGACGCCTAGTTGACGCCGTCTGTTAAGCTTCGGATTCACTGGACTTCCGACACCATAAGGTGAAATTCCATAATAGGTTTGTGATTGGTAACTTTTTCCTTGTCAAACGGGTCCAGGCGTTGATATCTAAAGATTTCAAAACCATTTTCCTGAAAATGCACCTAGCGAGGAAAGTGGAATATAGTAGGCATATGACATTATCTGTTGTCCTCTGTCGGGAGGCTTCGGTCGCCTAGAAACCAAAGTATCTAGAAAAAGGCAAAAGATGGCCAAGTACTGAACTTCAAACGTAACCGCTTAATTGGTCATAAACGCAATTGTGCAAGTGCGTCCAATCGGCGCGCGGAAGTGCACTGAGAATTACTGGAAGACAAGGTTGCCAAATTTCAATACGTTCATGGTGTACTTATAGCGAGTGCCCACCTACGCTACTTCATCCGTCAGTATTTGCAAAGAGGAGACGAAAAAGAAGACTGCCGTAGACCAATGCTTTGACGAGAACTCCCATGCTTCCAGAATGCATCCGCGGTCGCCAGTCGTTTTCGCACGCCCCTGGTGTTTGCTGTCGCACACAATCCAAGGACGTCGGATGATGAATTCGAAAGGTCCATTATCACGAAATAAGAAGTCTAAATACTTTGATGTGCGCGTTGCTGCTGCAGCTGAAAAATTAACGTCAAAGATTATACTTAAGTTAATTGCTTGAATGCGCATCAAAATTAAAAAGAGGTGCCCCCACCTCTGAAGGTGCGGCACGTTAGACGCGACCCTGTCACACCTTTGAGAAAGACAACGCCGAATTTCCTGTCAGACATGACAGCCGTGTGAACCTCTGACTGCTTATGCTATCGTTCTTCGTTTTGCAGCTCATTAACCCAGCCAATGAGCTTCCCCTTATCAGTGCTAAGACGCTATCTGGGCATATTCGTCACTTTGTGAGCGCGGGTGAACACCACATCTAGTTGCAGCACCGATGAGATAAGTTGTCAAATAATTATCACACCAATCATCAATACCGCCGATGGAGTCGCTGCGATTGATAAATCCGATAAGACTTACGCAGCCGATATTATGCCAAGTGTGACTGCATGGGAAGAATGAGGAGGTTTCTATTTTTGGCGGACAAGTGGTCGCGTAGACCTATATGATCTTTCCAGCCAGCGTGTTCGCCATTTCTGGTACTGGGGGTGAGTTTCTGACTTTGACGCCTCAGGTGAATCAACCTCTTGCTCTATCACCTAGGTCTTAAGTTTGTTTAAATGTTTCTTTCAACTCAACTTTGCATCTCTATCAAAAAAACTTGGCCGACAAAGTCAAAAATGAACAGTTTTTCAGAACTGATACCAGGATGATGCTAATTAAGTTAACCGATCCGACTTGCCGTAAAGTATTCGCATTTGCACTGAGGATGCCTCGCGATTTCGCAGGACGTTTGCATATGAGATGGACAAATCACTTAACTGGATTCGAACAGCCTGTTTGGACAGGGGCTACCAAATGAAACCATTGGAATAGCATTTGAGGAGTCAATGCGCAAAACGAAATAGTCCATACAAAGTTTTGTAAATATTATTAGCAGGTGTTTTGAGCTTGTGTTTTACAGCCTGCAGCACCTACCGGCACTTGCAAGACACGGCAAAGAGCACAGTTTGTAAAACGATACATTTTGAAAAAATATGATGATACGGACGAAGACTATAAGGTATGAGGCTGGCCAAACTTTATGAATACTATTATATTATACACGAATTAGAATGAAAATCTAAAGGTGCCAAAACATGAGAAAGATATGTGACCCAAATTCGGACTGATCCTAGCTATCACGACCACGCATACTAGCTAGCGGCCCCACCTTGTTCTTCTCCGAGTTCGTGCAGATGCATGACGCAGCCGAGACGAGTCCTCTGGCGCCCCTCATGTGCTTTCATATGTATGTTCCAGTTTTAAGTGTTTGTGTTTTCATAAATTCATGTGCTGATTTGTGACATGTTTTTCAAGGCAGACCTTTTTCAAGCTACCTCCAACGTTTTCCGTGAATATTTTGACTAAAATTAATCAGTTTCGGTGGAATAGCCAGGCTGCCAGCAAGCAATCGGTAACAAAACATGTTGTTTTAACCATCATACTCAAACCAAGGATGCTAAATAAAAGTCCGGACAGGTGTTTAAAATAAGGTGGTTCAGTTTTCTGAATTGATATATGATTGTGAGTCCCATTTGACTGCACGCAGTAAATTACTAATTATGATACGCAGTATTCAAGGAAGCATTGCGTTTTAAACTCTCTTCCCATAATGCCCATCATTGTCTTTCAGATTCCTATACAATGCAGTGTCTTTACGGGGAGTGCGACTAATGACATTATACCATTTTAAGAAACGATGCATAGTACGTTCTCAGTATCACACTAAACAGGATTAAACAAGACTTTTCATCTGAAAAGATACTTCTTTCGGAGAGCACCTTAATGGCCATCTAGATGTGCTTTGCCCAGAGAAAAACTAAATACTTTTATGAGTGCCGAAAAAAACGGTACAACTGTCCCCCAGGCAAAAATAAGGAGTTTAAGGAAAATATCAAAAACAAAGTTTGTTGCTGCGATTGTTCAGCAAGCATTGCCTTTTGTAAGGAAGACTAGTACAAATCTCCTCTGTGCTAACTTCTGTGTATTTTTTCAAAGGGTCCAAAGTTTACATGCATATAGTTCACTGGCGCACGTTTGAAACAGGAAAGAAAAATTAAGAAAACTATCAGTAGACGACTTAATGGACGACTAAAGTTCGGCCCATGCAGGAAACTTCATCGATTACCATAAGAAATGGGAAGGTGACTTTTTGTGCATGCAGTTATAATCTCCGATGCACTTGGGCTTTATAGGGAACTCGGAAAGGCTCTTGACGACAAGATGAGATAGTCGCCGACGTCAGCATTCTGTTGAAAGTAAGGTGTTGTGATTTGTTATTTGTTTTAACTGATCGAAGTCCGAATTATCCGTCTGGAGAATCTCGGATGTCTGGCATCTTTCGCGCCAGACTAACGAGTATAGCAAAAATGCTTTGTTCGAGTAAACCACTTTGCTGAATTTTTTCGGTCAGAATTGTATATATTTTGAAGAAAATAAACCCAATTTAAGTATGGGCAGTTATCTCTACTAATACATAGACACCGTTCTGCGTATCTGTACGGGGTTCTCTGACGAAGCACATTGATCTAGATAAGAGACGTCTGTCAAAAGAGCCTTTATCAACTTAAAAGCTGACTTTTAGTGTGCGTACACCAGATGAGGCGATACGTGAAGAAATACGTTTTTTGAAAAAACCTGAGATAATTTCCTCATCAAAAGTTCAAAATTGTAACTTCGTGCGATTATGTTGCCCTAAACACTGTAATAAGGTTAATGGGCAACCTTCCATTCCTCGCTTCCGTAAAATTAGTAACCCGTTTGACTTGTGAATCAATGGACTTTATCCTTTTCGTGCGCTGGACATTTTTCTATTTTCAAGACAACTCTCTGGCGCATCTATATCCACTGTCTTGGACAAAGAATTAAAAAAGATGGCGGTTCCAGAGAAGGGGAGAAGGGAAACTTTCTTTTTTTGTGTAACGTGTCAGTCCCAGCAAAGGAAATGCATAAGCGTATAAAACATTTTGCTTTCTCCTCGAATTTCCTTCAGGAAATGGGAGTGTACACTTCATTCAGCGAAAGTCTCTACCGAAAAAGTCTTTGACAGAGGATTATTTTAGACTTAACTGGTCAACGTCACACCGATTGCCGACAGCCGATTAGGAACAGTGAGTGCCGAAATCTATTCATGGAAATTTCAAAGACATTTTCAGAGCCAACATAATTTGCAGTCTTCAGAAAGCACAGTAACTTTGAAGTTGAAATATATGATATGCAAAAACGTGCAAGACTGTACTTGTATCTTGCAATAATAATTCAGTCTTAACCACTGTCCGTTGTTTATCGTGATGTCTTACGAGAAATTTTTTTTCACTCTCTGGATAAACTTTTATTAGGCACAAAGTGTTTAGCTAGCTTGGAGATATTAGACCCCAGAATTACCTTAGGTAGCTTCCAGACGGCGTTAGGCAAATATTTTTTAATCCGCTGCGTTTTCTGGATGCGCGAAAATTAATTAATTCTGTAATAAATTCAATTTATTGAGTTCTAGCTGTGTTTTTCTGATAGTCATGCTTCTTCTAAAAATATTGTTTCTAACCAAAAATAAGTTGCTTTTAATAACCCCTTAATTGCCAATAGGAGCAAAGGGACAACTTCCAGGAAGCGGTCATGAAGAAGGAGACGCGATCGTCTTTCCATCTTTACAAGCCTTTCATTCACATTGCTGCTTTAATTGATGCATCTGAGTTTGAAACTATTTCAATAGTTTACATTAAATTTTCACTTATTTCATAATTTCGATTTACTGTTGCATCTGTGAAAGGGCATAAAGATCGTTATTTTCTATAAGGGAGAGAAGAAATGCGGTCAGGCATATTTTCGGTTTATTGGCATCAGCCATCAAAAATTAGTAGGATTAACTTAACTCCGCTGTAAGATAATGTCCTATTCTGCAGGTCATGAATAACCAGCGAAAGGTAACAAAGTGAGCTAGAAATTATTCAAATAATTAACGAATTTGACCGAATATTTTGCATGTTGACGGCCATACTTTCTGCCGTCTCAACGTTTTCCTTCAAAACAGAAAATTCTTAGATCCAGTAGGTATTAGTGACTCACTCTGGAAGTTCAGAAATCTAGAAGTTAAGGAACTGTAAGCGTTGGATTATTTTTGGAAGTGGTTAGGGAGAAAACTGCTAGGCTGATAGAGTTTATTTCATATACTACATACAATGCTCCAGGCAATTTCACATATAACAGAAATGGCTGCGCCTGGTTTGCTTTTGGCATCAGTCACTCGCGCCTTACCTTCATGTTCTGGAGCATTTTGTAATCGTTTTAATTTAGCTTATCAGCTTAAATATGCCTCAGACTTCATATCAGTTGAGCAACTGACGCTGAATTTGTTGGTCCTTGTCAGGATCGCTAGCCATTTAGTAGTGTTTTTAACGGTTTATCACGAATTTTTGACAGACTTTGAGCGACTTTGAACATTCCAGTTGGCAATTCCTGGTGGCACACACAATAACATGTGATTCCAATGCGGACGTTTTTGCCAACAAACTAAATAAAATTTGTCCTGCAAAACAGGGTATTTTGAATCTTATCCCCCAGATTAGCTACAGAAGTTTGCATAACAATTTCACTTTGATAATTCTTTCCAAAATTTCTGCGGACTTTGTTTAAAACAACATGTCCGTAAAGAGAAATGCAGTGAAGTCGGACAATCCATGATTACCGGATAAAGAGACTTAGGATTGTGTTTGACACTTCCCAATGACGGTCTTTTTGCATTGTGTCAATTTCGGCATGGTAGAGACGACCTATTTGCAATTACAATATCTGAGAATACTCCACATAAAGGGAACGTGGATGTCGCATGTACAGTTAATGTTCATAGTTTTAAATATATAAAAAACCATTTAATGGCAAACACTTTATTCGTCTGTGGTTGAGAAGTAGATAGCCCTAAAATGAACGTGTTTTAAAAATGATTAATGTTTGCAGAAGACGTCCTGAACAGTGATCTTTGTTCATACTGCCCATTAAATTAAGTGGATTATCTTATTAGACAGGCTTCGAACAAATGAGAGCTGACACACTTTGACCCCGGCATTGTGAACCCGTTTTAACACTCGGCTGAAGTGTCAGATATAAAAGCTTCATTCTCCAGCAACCGAGCGTGTTTCCTTTTGAAATGCGTTGTCGTAACAATTACGCTAACAGAATAAATTTCCAATTTGTCGACTTATGGTAAATGTTCAAGGTAAAGTTTACGGTTCTCCCCCGATAAAAGGACCCAAAATTTATTATGCGTCGAAAAATCTCCTTTAAAATTACTACATTGGACATGTAAGAAAACCCTAGTCCTAGGCCGCCTACTAAGGAATCTGAAATTCAGTCGCCAAGTTCCATAACCTCCGTAACCTATTGTTTGTATAAGCATATGCATCTTCTGACCGGTCAATTTACCAAGGTTTGCAAGTTTTCTCAAAGTTTTTATCAGTCAATGTTCCTGTCGATGGTTGAGATGCGAACGAGGGAGGGCCGATCCTAGGAAAAAAAGTTGCATTCTACTGGCATTTCGTACTTACATTTGGACTCGCAGTTAGGGAGGGAAAAACACTTTGCGGATGCATACGGACAGTATTTACAGATTATGTTTGACGCACAATCACCCACTTGCCCTGTCCCTCAGACGCGTCCTCCATGTGATCAGATGCTCTGTCCAGTCGATGTTTGAGCGCCGAATATCGAAGAAGGATCGTTTCTTCAAGTAACCGGCGACTCATGATGTTGTCGAATTTCACAAACATTTCGGGCTTTACGAACATAAACTTGCAGCCTGTGCACTGTATTCTCCTTTTAAATAACTTCAGAGTGCTCGTACGCGTCGCCACCTAAGTATAATCGGATTTTTTTGTATTGCGCTGGGGATGGACCCAAAAACAGCTTCTCCTTTTTTAATTTTCTGAGCAGTTCAAACTGGAAAACTCACAACTTTTTATAACGTCAGTAAAAAATTTGCGTAATTTATAATCGCCATGCACAAACACTAATTTTAAGAACCAATGGTGCGTTTAGATAAAAATTTGCGTTTTTACACTTGTTTATTTGCAAATAAAAGGACATTTTAGTTCACATTATCTGCACCAGCTCGAGCGATACTATCTGTCCGGGCGATTTTTGTAATTGAATATTGATAGCATTATGGCAAATGAATTAGAGGAAGCATGGAGCATGAAAACGAACGCAAATAAGTGGTTTTCAAACGAGTAAAACCGCCAAAAAAGTCAATGCAAAATTGCCTTTTCCGCAAACTGTAAGATTATCAGCTAAGTCGGGCACAAACGTCTCGAACTATTGCGTCAATAGCGGAAGATACATGAACAGATAGGTTTGAAACCAAAAGGGTTTTCTAGGACACAATTTGCCCAGGACAAACATGTTTGAATTAAAATGAAAAAAAATTTACCGCAGAATAACAAAACTAATAGTCCAGATTGTGATTGTCTGTTGCGACGTTCAAATAAGTGTCATTTTCCGGAATTTTTGACAGACCCATTACAATTTTTTGGATTTTTTACTCGTCCTTGGTAAAAAGTATTGCATTTCCGGGACTGAAGAATAGCACTCATTAGAAATAAAAAGCTACTTTGGATTACTGACGAATGCTTGCGTTAATTTCGCTTAAATGCATGCATTTCGGATTTCATAAACACATTTGTAGTAAATACAAAGTCCATTCAAGACCTAACTGACGAGTTTCTAAGCCAGTATCTCCTTCAGCTGTTATGAGGAATATCTATATGTGAGACACGGCCACTACACTGTATAAAAACTTCCAGTAATTTAAGTTAACTGAAACCCCACTTACGGTTTGAAATTGGAAACAAAAAGACTATGCATCTACTGCGTCTTAGTCTTTTTCTGCATTCTCCATATACAGCTGCAGACGGTCATGTGAAGGACAATGACATTAATGGAGGACATTTCCTACAGCCCTGCGTAAAGACAAGCACTCGTAACCACGAGTGTGCGCATGTTGGGAGCAAGGTGTCATTATTTTTATGTTTTTGTACAACGATTTCCGACGCATCATTTTAACTTATCAAATAGTCCTTGCCTACCATTATCTGTGGGCTGAATCACCAAATAGACGTCCTGAACAATTGTTAAAAGTAAGTCCCCATTTTTAGGGAGTACGTTAACCACTAAAGAATTCATTCAGTGAAGTAAGACCCCTATATGACGGTGCTTGAGCACATTTCTTGCGAAAGCTCCCGTGATTTACTAATTAATGGAAGAGGGCTGCAAAACAAGATAAGATTTCGGCAAGAAATTAGAACTACAAGTTCTTGGAACCGCTGAGACAAAAGGCAAATAAGCGGTAGCATTATTTTCCTTGTATTTTAGCAGTGGAGTGATTTTATCCCATCCTAACCATGGTTTTTAAATCTTTCTTATAGAGAACTGGTATTAAAAGCCAATCCCCCTCGTCATGGGCATTTACTAGAATGAGGGATTTTCAGAAACGTTCTCCAGCAAGGGAATCGACGAAATTGTATCTGTGTTTATCTGATGCCTCCTTGTTCAGCCGCTTTCATCTGATGTGGTCTGATTTCTCTGCTATTGCAATATTTCCTCGATGATGACCTTAAGGCTATCTGGTCATCTCCATTCCTCTTTTTACCGATTACTTCATTACGTCCAATTCCGCGCCAATGACTGCAATATGTCCTTTCAAGACTGCTCGAGGACGTATGGTGAATATTTACTTCATAAGGGATATGCCGTCTAGGTTAGACTCACATATACCAAAAACGGACGCGACGGCGTCTACATTTTAAGTCAAATGGATCGTACGTCTAACCTTTAAATACATTGTTCTTGTTTGTGATTTTATTCAGGGAAGGAGATTTAATTACCCTCTACTTCTACCTCTGCCGAAGTGATTAAAAGGTTTATGTGACTTAGTTCGCGTCTTTGCCTGTATAAGGTTCGGCCATAAGACATTATCTTTCACGAATGAAGGCGAAATTTCGAGTTCCAGGTGTATACATATTTAAAGAAGAAGAAGAAGAGTCGAGCACCGGAACAATTCGTTTATTATCCTGAGCTTTCAGACTCGTACAGGAGTCCATCGTCAGAGGTAGTGGCAGAAACAGGACAAGCGGCAGTTATAAGGCACGCAGACCCAATCATCGACCGACGTCGCACTACTGGAGGTGACTACGAAGGGCTCTGAACGCCGGCGCCAGATCGATAAATCGATTGACCGAGTTCTCATCCGTGGCCCAGGCTTCAATCAATTCTCGGCCTGTTTTGTTTCCGGCGTGGGCAACTATTTTGGTGGCTGCGAAGTCAAACTCGTGACCCATTTCGTAGGTGTGGGCGGCCACTTGTGATAATGCGTCGCCTCGCCGCACAGCCAGCTTATGTTCATGTATGCGCGATCCGAGCATGCGTCCAGTCTGTCCTGTGTAATTACAAGGACAATTTTGACACGGAATGCGATACACTACTCCAGATTGCTCTTCAGGTTTTAACCGGTCTTTGATCTTCATGACCCTGTTGCGCATGGTGGCTTTGGGGCGGTGTGCGATTCCAACCCCTAGCTCCGCAGCAATGCGCTCGGTCGCTTCTGAAACACCCTTGATGTATGGCAGAGAATGCCATATCGTCGGTGGCGTTGATGTTTGAGTTCTCTGGTGGCGACCGCGTAGGCAGCGACTTATGAATGCCCTCGGATAGCCATTTTGCACAAACTGGTCGCGGAGATAACGGGCCTCACGCGCTCTATCTTCCAGTTTGCTGCAATGAGTTTGGATCCGTTTGAAGAGCGTCTTCACACAGCTTCGTTTGTGAGCCACCGGATGGTTGCTGTGAAAACTGAGAAGCTGAGTGGTGTTCGTTGCCTTCCTATAAACCGTCGTTTCAAGTTCACCGTTAAGGTTGCGTCTGACGAGCACATCCAGGAAGGGCAACTGCTGCTCCTGTTCTTCTTCCCTCGTGAATTTTTATCCGGGAAGACTGCGTTGAGCAGGCTGTGAAAATGTTGCAGCATGTCCTTCTTTACGATGACGAACGTGTCGTCAACGTAACGTCGCCAAAACACCGGTTCATGTTGGGGGAAGGCAATCTTTTCCAACTCCTGTAGGACCAGTTCTGCCCCCAAACCGGAGACCGGTGAGCCCATTGGGGTTCCCTTGATTTGTTCATAGGTCTCTCCCGCAAAAGTGAAGAAAGTTTGTTGGCAGAATTCAAACAGCCTCATGAGGTGTTCAATTTTGAGGGCATTCTGAGTCTCATCGTACGCCTCTTCAAGTCTCTTGCGCAAGACTTCGCGGGCCACGTTTGGTGGGATAGATATGAATAACGACGTCACATCGAAGGAGACCATGATTTCGTCCGATTGAATTCTCCGACCTCGGAGGTCTATGAGGAATTGAGAGGCTGATCGAACTGAGGTAGTCGAATTGCCTTGGAGGAACTTCAGTTTTGAGTACACCCCCTCTGCCAAACTGTAGGTGGGGCTGCCTTTTAGGGCAACGATTGGCCGAAGTGGGACATTTGCTTTATGGATTTTTGGCAGACCATAGAATCGGGCTAGAGCGGTGTCAGTTGACCAGCACAGAAGTCACAAGCCAAAGCAGTGGCAGATCGGCTGAGTAAACTGCTTAGAGAATACCGACATAAAAATGTGATCACGGAGAATGAATGGCACCAAATGAGGGCAACTGACACCGCTCTAGCCCGATTCTATGGTCTGCCAAAAATCCATAAAGCAAATGTCCCACTTCGGCCAATCGTTGCCCTAAAAGGCAGCCCCACCTACAGTTTGGCAGAGGGGGTGTACTCAAAACTGAAGTTGATTTAATTTTAATTATTTGTTGTTTTGTTTACTTAGTTTTTTGTGCTCCCATTGTCGTTAGTAGCTTAGACCATCACGAAACAATTTGCATTGTCATCCACAAATGCCTAACTTCGCTTCACTCGGGCGGTTTCTTGTTATTCGTTGAAGTCCATCTTGGCTATCGCAGGAAATACATTATATTCACTGTCTCAGTACAGTTTAATAAAACAAAGTTGATGTGCACCACTTATCAAAAGACCATATAAAGTTCATACACATTCAGCAGGCATGCAACATACCCTACTGATCCTCATGCCTACCGTGGGTGTGACCTTTCTTAAAACGGGAAACGGGAAAAATGGCCACGAGATGTATTAGATGGACTAGATATTTTGTAAAAGGTGATTCTTGCTTGACATTTACAACGCCTACTTCGCAGATTCATAAATTTTCGAATATTGTGAGGGAAAAACACTCCAACAAGTCAGATCGTAAACCTACAAGACGTTATTTACCACTCGCAGGGCTGTTTTTAACTAATTTTGGCCAAATCCAAACCTAAAATGTGGTTTTTTCAACCAGATCGTTTATTCGGGGACATCAAATTTTTTTACGATGGACGTCTTGTTTGTCTTGCCGGTAATTACTTTTTTATTTTCTTAGGATTGTTATGGGGTAGGAACATGAGAGCGATATACTTCGGCTGAGGAAGGACTGGAAGACTACTTGAGTTACTTTTTCTGCACCAGTCTGAAGTGAAAGGTCAAGAACGTACAGTAGACTTTTTTCTTCCCCAGTTCCTCTTGGTATTGTTTATCATATCTCCTATGACGTAGTTTGAGCTAGATGGCATTTCTTTATCCCATCCAGTTACGTTATATAGTTAGCGGCAAATTTTTAGAATACAGCAATAACTTAAGCAAGTAACAATCGTAAAAATTACCCTGACGGCAGCTCTATCTTGAAGGGTTAACTGACAAGTTGCCCACTTCAAACCTCTTTGAGCCGATGAAGGTTTTTACGATAAGACGCTTTGGACATTTGAAATACACTTTGGTATTCGCATGAAAACCTAACCCTTTTTCGGACGTGCGATTTGCTTACATCTCGTAAGTCGTATACAATCTCGATATGGATGTAGTCTTTGCTCTTGAAATCATAAGACAGGCCTTAGAATAATCAAGCGAAGAGCTTCGATGAAAGTTTATGAGACGATTTCAGTGATCTCCTGAAGATCACCGTTTGGACAGAGATTACTTATGCCTGCTCCAAAAGATAGTATAGTGGAAATATTTTAAAGTTAGGTTATGAATTACTGAGTCTTTAAATAACGACTCAAGCCATGCGATTTTTTTCAAAAAAGTTCGGTTAGCTGGTCATTTTCTTTTAAATCTCTTCTGAGATTCCAAACAACGATGAGAGAGGGATTTAGAAGTAAAAAAGCAATGCTTACTTTAGGATTATTTTGTGCAGATTATGGAAAAGGACATAGTTCTTGGCTTTAGGCTGACTTAGTTAAGCAACGGTTTTGGTAGAACATTAGCAACTACCAAGGCAGCCAGGGCAGATCTTAAAATAGACTGCCTAGGCTTCGTTTTTGGATTCTGGTGGTTTTAAACTGAAATAGGTCTTTCCCAAAGCAGATTTCACATTTGCCTCCAAGGGAATATCTGCGTTATGACAATCTGTCTGATCGTGTTGTCGCAAGAGCTTTAAAAGGGGTTCTCAAAGGCGTTTGATGCTATTCGTCGAAGGCAATGCACAGTCTGAAAATCCTTAAAAATCAACCAAAATAACGACTGCGTGGTTTTCGTGTATCACTTTGAAGCTGATAAGAGCAAACTTCGGTGAAATTGTATGTCGAGTTCTCTCGCGCATATACATTAACCGTTGAACATATCTGAGCCTTCCTTGCCCTCTTACTGGGCAGATAATGAATGTGGATAAGTTGCGACTTCAAATATGAGTGTGGATGTCGTTTGGGTAAAGTGGGAGCCGCATGAGAGCTTTTTAACAACTTTATTATTTGACTGACGGCTGATTTGGAACCGCACTGGCATTTTGACTAACCTAGCCGTTAAAATACACCACACTTTTGGAGAAAAGTTGGCAATTTTTATATTTTTTGAGCGCATAATAATGCGACTGGTAGGGCGTTGGTACCCCTTGTTTTTCTTAGCATTCAAAGTCATGCAGAAGACTTCGTCGAAGACGACAACAGCGATGAAATGAATGGTGGTGGCCCAGCAAATTCAATAGTTAACAACCGTTGCCGCAGGTCGGGATATGCCTGCCTAGGCTACTTTGTGTAGACTCGCCAGAAACACAAAGCCAAATCAAACTTCGTTTTCCCTCGCCTTTCAACTCAGGCAATTTTCTCCGTAATCACAACACTGTACTTGTGATCCCTTTCAAAGTTACGGCAGTCACTTCGTCCTCTAACCTAAGATAGGTCCCGCGCCTGTAATCCACGAACGACCAGCAATATATGCTGAGACAAGGGCTAACTAATGGCATTTAATAAACAATAAGTGACTATCCAGTCTTCTTGACTTTGACAGTATTCTTGCCTTGGAATAGATGTAACGTGGATCTAATATGGATTAAAACTTACTCAAGGGCATGACACCATAGATGCGTCCACTCGTCTGTGGACGTCGTGATGAACGACGGACGAACTGTCAGTTTGTAGCACAATACTACCTCACTCAGTCGCATACATAGCTTTCATTTTCGTATGCACGATCACGGCTTAATTTTGTTCTCACCTATACAATTATAAGGACAGGGGATGCAGCAACGAGCCTAGTGGTTTCTCGAAAGCTACCAGTATATGGCAAAGCATATTATGTCGTCGTTGGCGTCTCCGTTTTGACCCTCCAAAGTGAACACGGGTGTCGACCCAAAAAGACCTTTGGGTAACCATTCCGGGAAAATTGTTGATGGGTCTTTACCTGTCCTTTCGCCTGCGTTAGGGTAGCCAGTCTGAATTCGCCTGAAGAACGTTGTACAGAGTTTTGCTTCGAATAATCGGATGACTGTGGTGACCATTTATTGCTTCCTTCCTGCCTCCCGAATATTATATGAACACTCAGTTTAACGACATATTAGTTTTTGCCTACGCGCTGTGTCCTACCTAAACATGTACTGGTCTGAAGTTTTGGTCTGTTAAAGTACTCCAATAATTGATTTTTTCGTTTCTGTCTTTATTCCTGGCAAGGGATTTCCATTCGATTCTGCAGGGCAAAAAACTTAAACATGTTTTCTGTTGTCCATTCTGTCTTTTCCCTAAAACCAGACAGAATTTAAGCTTGACGACTTCCGGGTGAAGAAACATCCTCTCTTTTTGGCAGTAAAAACCCCTTACCTTTCTTTTACAACACCGTTCAATCGAGTCTGAGTCTCGTGATAATCCTTTTTATGATAGATGTTCGATGTTTTTTCAATTTATTGAGGTATATTCATGGTTTACCCTCATCAGTTGTATACAATCGGTTTTTTATGGTTTCTCATTTTGTAATTCCGCCGCTAACAAGCCAATAGAATAGAGATCAGTCATTGTTCATTGGCTAGGAAAAATTACTACTTTTGTCCTTAAAAAACTGTGTTGCAATGATTTGTACTTTGGTAGGAAATCGGGTCTAATTGGTTCTCTGAATGCCAACAGCACGGCAATTATTTTTGCCAAAAGTTTAACTTTATATTATTACATTAATTCAGTGTACTTGTTTCTCCTTCATTTTTTCGATCATTTTTGCTAATCATACACGAAGGATCATTGGACTCCTATTTTCAAATGCACAATGATGTGCCAAGAAACAGAGGATCGAACTGTCAGGATTGCTTATGTCCAAGGCTTAATTCTAGCAGCCAAATTATCGCAAATGAGACTCATATATAAATGCGCATAGCGTGTCCCAGCAGAATCTTCTAGCATGTCAGCAACCAGGCCGTGAAGACGCAAATAGCATAACCATCTGCTGCAATCGAACGAGAAATGGGGAGGAAAATTAACTTATGGTCTTATGACAGAAATACAACATAACTCGCACTGTAATGCAAGCATAGCTATAGCGTGGCTTAAAATACTAGACTTGGATTGCTTAGATTCTTAGAGTATTAAATCAAAGTTTTTATTTGTATTTTCACAGCGCAAAGGTCACCTCTTTACACACTCACACTCACAGTGTGTTGTTTTCAGATGCCAGTTAATGTTCAGCGTCGCTTAGAAAGTGTGCTTACGATGTCGGTTTGCACGTTTCAGCTGCATTCAAAAAGTGTAACTGAATTTGTGCATTATTAATAAGCCATTTTTTCATCATCGAAACAAAGGCTTTATTTGTTAACTATTGTCCATGGTAATCTTTAAAAGGCTTAAGGTGAGATCACTAGATGCCCGTCTAATGAGCAACGACAAGCTGTGGTGCACGGAGAAGTGTTGCTCTTTTAGTCAAAGTCCGTTTTTGAATGGCAGTTTATACATTTTGGAGGAAGCTTAGTTAGCTTTGCTACCAACAGGGATTATTTACACAGCTTGTTATTCAGCC